CCCTTTGTTGTTCCCTACTCTAGGTCCCCAGACATGCCCTGGACTTAGAAGCATGCCTCATTGTTGCTGGCACCAGCAGCTTTACCCATGCTAGGAACCCCATTTCTTCTGTGTATTGTAGGCAGGCAAACAAACACCCAATAGCAGTGTGTGTGCCCCCTGGGTCTGTCTGGCATAGCCACGCCTGGCATCTTTTCTTCAGTGGAATATGCCTGGACATATGTACCTGGGGAAAGGTACTCTTTGTCTATATTAATAACTTAGCTTAGTTTTCTTGAGCTGCGGCTGGGAAGGAAAGAGGGTCCCAGAGACCTGTCCCAGGCACGCCCCCTGGAGATACTTGACAGTGTACAGCCATAGCGATAGGTTCCACCCATATCTCTGGACAGGATAGTTGGGTTCTGGGAGAAGTTACTGGCCCAAGGCCAGCTCTGGGTCTGAGAAACAGTGGAATCAGATTTAAAAAGTTCTATTTGATGACCAAGTGTTTCCCCTGGGTTTGTAATTAGCACACCTCTAGCCAGACCCGGCAACCGGTACTGTAATCTCCTCACTCAAGAGGCAGAAGCCAGAAGATAACTAAAAGGTTTTTTTTTTTTTTTTCGAGACAGGGTTTCTCCGTAGCTTTTTGGTTCCTGTCCTGGAACTAGCTCTTGTAGACCAGGCTGGCCTCGAACTCACAGAGATCCGCCTGCCTCTGCCTCCCGAGTGCTGGGATTAAAGGCGGTAACTAAAAGTTTGAGGCCAGTCTGGACTACACAGTAAGCTTCAGGCCAGTCAATGCTACATAGTTAAGACTCTGTCTCAGGGGATGTAAAGTAAAACAAAAACAAAAACAAAAAAAAAAAAAACAAAAAAACGAAAAAGTGCTCCTGAGCTAGGGAGCCAGCTCCATCAGTTCTGAGCAAGATAAACATCTGACCTCAGCCCCAGACGCCCACCATTGTGGTACACACTTGTGATCCATCCCAGCATTGGATGGGCAGATCCTGGGGCCTCTCTGGCCAGTCAGTCTAGGAGAACTGACAGGACCCAGGACAGTGAGGGAATCTGTCTCAAAAACTAACGACGGCAACAACAACTCCAAAGAGTGGAAGGCAATGGCGGGATCACCCTGACTTGCACGCTAGTACACAGACACACACGCATGCGCACACACAGAGACATACACGCATACACACACCACACAGAGAGACAGAGGAACAGAGAGAGACAGAGACAGGAAGACAGACAGACATAGACAGGAGACAGAGAGAAACTAAGACGTGAGACAAGTCCTAGGCTAAATTCCCAGCGTTTCTGGGAGCCTGCCCAAGGTGAGAGCCTGAGTTTGTATCCCTCACATAAACTATCTCATGCCTTTGTGACAAACAGCACACTTCTTCTGTACTGCATCTGTTTGAAAATTTCAACTTATTATGTTAGCAAACTATTCCAATATTCCTCCCAGCTTAGAAACATTTCAGAACTCTAGCGAATCGTTGTTTTGTGCTATCTTTCTTTTGCATTTTTATTTTAAACTTTATTATTAACAAAAACATTGCAAATAAATACTTTGTCATGAACATAGTCACATGAGATTCTCTGAGGAAAAGCAGTTTGTGGTCAGATACATTGGGAAGACAGTGCTGACTATTTTCCTATTCCTGGGAATCCAAAGGCCACTAGCAAGTTTGGGGAGGCTCAGCAATGAAGACCGCCACTTAGCTGCAGAGACTGGTATTTCCCCCCAATGTGTGTGGTCTTATAAGCCCGTCTCATGCTCGTGCAAAACTCCGATTTACACTCTAAAGAAGTTGTCAAGGAATATGTCTTGGGAAAATCCGTGTGCCAGCTATGGTTTAAGGCTTTTCACATGTGAAATAAGGACACAGACACTTAGCCACTTTTAACAGTGGGCAGAAACCGTTACCCTTCATTTCCTGTCATAAGACACCAGCGAGACCTCAGGCCGTTTAGATGATTATTTCTACCTAGTTGGGGAAAGGTAAAACTTTATAACTATGGGGCTGGAGAGATGGCTCAGAGGTTAAGAGAATTGCCTGCTCTTCCAAAGGTCCTGAGTTCAATTCCCAGCAACCATATGGTGGCTCACAACCATCTGTAGGGGGGTCTGGTGCCCTCTTCTGGCCTGTGCTCATACACAGACAGAATATTGTATACATAATAAATAAATAAGTAAATAAATAAATAAATACTTTATAACTATATTACTTTTAGACGTGTGTTTACTAGTTTGTGGATTTTTGTGCATGTGCACACATGTACGTGTGCCGTCGCGCACTGTGGAGGCCAGAGGGCAGCTTGTTCTCATCCCACCACGTGGATCCCAAGGATACCACTCAGGTCACCAGGCTTAACTCTGCTGAGCCACCTCTCTGGCCCCTGCCCTCCCCATCCCCAACATACGATAGTATAGGAGAAACAAACCTTGGCCGGCGTTTAAAAAGTTTGTAGAGTATGTCCACCTGGTGACCAGAAATGTCAGAAAATTCCTTTTTGAAGCTGCGATCCAGAATCTAAGGATAAACACATCGTGTCCAGGATTGCAGATGCAGAAGTCTCTCATTGGTTAACACAATCTCTAACATGCAGACAGTGTAACTGGGACATTAAGACCTGGCTTTTACAGCTGTTGGAGAGCATCCACTCGATGCAAAGACTTCCTTAAAGGGCTGTGCCCAGGGAGCCTGCCAGCGCACCAAAAATGTTACCTTCTAGAACAGCTTTTAAAAGCGTCTAGAACAGTAGTGTCTATAGATTGTATTTATTCAGAAAACACGCAAGTCACTGTTCAACCCATTTCACCTTCTTCCTTCTCCACCTCATTTGTTCCATCTTGTTGTTATTCAGGTTATTGCTTCTGTCACACACTGCTGGCTCTACTACTAAGTTGCTTTTATGAGCAACTCATGGGCCCCACAACCATACGCTTGAGAACAAACTTGTGAGAACTTGATGACCTCACTTATAATATTTTTCTACAGGAAAAAGCTTAACTTAGGGAAATTTAAAAAAATTGTTCTAACACACAGATTTTACAGAAACGTATAGCCATCCAGAATGAAATTCACTCACAACTAAAGATGACAGAAAGAGAACAATCCATGAAGGAATTAATTTATGCCCTGTCCACCGCCCCCTGCTAATCCCAAGTGCAACAACCCTGCCCTGTCCAGGGGATGAGCCCGTGACTCACTTTGTCTTCGGCCACCAAGTTGTCATGGTGCTCCTTGAACACATCCAGGTCTCCTCTAGCTTTCTGGATGGCTTCTGCAGTCTTGTTCTACAGGAACGGCAGGGACAGTTAGTTGGAACTGGAGAGTCCTCGGGTTAGACAAAGCTATAGGTGTTTTTAGCAAGACTAAGACGCCTCACAGGATGTGATAGAGCGAGAGCTGGTGCCAACATGCGTTATCCAGCCGCTCTGAAATGGTCTCCTCCTGTGTCAGAGGCATCTAATAGCCTCTGTTGTGATACACCAGATACAGTCTGCTATGTAGCCCAGCTTTCCCTTAACCTGTGCTCCTCCTGTGTTCGCCTCCCAAGGGCTGGATTATAGGAATGAGCCACCATGTCTGGTAAAAAGTTCTTGGCAACTATTATAAACAACCTTTTCTTTTCTTTTCTTTTGGTTTTGTCTTTGACACAGGGTCTCTCTAAGTAGTTCTGGCTGTTCTAGAACTTGTTATGTAGACCAGGCTAGCTTTGAACTCAGAGATCTGCCTGCCTCTGCCTCCTGAATGCTGAGGCATGTACCACCACTCCTGGCCAGATAAACAGACTGAAAAGTGAGTACACAATCCATTTATGATGCAGCACACGTGTGCATACTCGGCTTCATCAACAATATCCATGCAGGCTGACACCTGCTGAAACATTACATATTAATAATCAGCATTAATACCCATCTCCTTAATAAACTCTATCCATTCATGTTTCTACCTAGCGTTTCTGAATATGAAAGTTTTCATTCTATAAGCTAACCTATCACTTCAAGGTTCAGTGACATTTGGGACTACCACATGGTCCAGAGAGAACGATACTCCCTGGAGAATGGCCTGTGAACAACTTCAAGGACTGTGTGCTTTGATCAAGGTCCTACAGCCAGCCTGTGGTTAAAAGCTGTATTCTTGTTGTTGTTCTTGTTGTTTGAGACAGGGATTTCCTATGTAGCCCTGGCTGTCCCGGAATTCATTCTGTAGACCAGACTGACCTCAAATTCACAGAGATCTCCTGCCTCTGTCTCCCGAGTGCTGGGACTAAAGGTGTGCGCCACAACTGGCTGATACTAAAAGCTGTATTTTTTAACTTCAGTCCAAGAAGTCTTGTCTTCTATGTCATTTTGACACTGCAGTGTTCTGAATCTGAGCTGCGGAATCACATCAGCTAATAAAGAGACTGACATGGGTCCTTTATCTGGTCGTCTAGCAAAGTCCCAGACCTGGAACCCGCTCTGAGCATGGCTGAGTAGGAAGGGCAGAAGGAAGACTGTGGGGCAGAACAGCCAGACATCACCGTGCTGGGACTTGCTTGCCTCTTCAAGGCGTTCTTCTTGTCTCAGAAGATGGCTTGATTAGAGTCGACTCTGTGACTCTGATCAAATAAGGCTCTAGATGTGGAACCTGTGTCTGAGCGAGCGAGCGGCAGAGGACGCCCGAGAGGCCCGGACTTACTTTCTCCTCCTGCTTCTTCAGAAGGTAATTGTTCAGGAACTGCTCCCTGGAGCTCAGTTCTTCGTCCAGCAGCAAAGAAAACACGAGGTTGTTTATTTTCAGCTCCTCCTGTGGAAATATTAAGAGGAAGAATGTTGAAGGTCAACATTCCTAGCGAAGAAAGAACGTCCTATTGGTGGTCTTAGACTTGATGCTACTCAGACAAGCTTAGGAGGGGAGGAGTCCCTTAAGTGAATGCTTTGAAGAAAAGTCACGTGGGGACTCCTAACTAGTACTTGGCTCTGTTCCCTCATCCGTCATTTCCTGTAAGCAAAACACATACACAGAAAAATACTTAACACCAACAAATCATCCAACGCGTTATGATACAGGCCAGCACTCTTATTTTCATTACTTGATTAAAAACAGTCATCTTCTCCGGCCCAGAACCAGGCGTCATCAGAGGCTCAACCCCGTCAGTGAGTACTTTTCCACTTCAGCCATAACAAACTCGCGTGTTTCTGTCCCTCTGCCTTAGTGTGAACGCCTGGCACAGTGGCATAGCTCATCCATTAGCAATATTTTGTCACGTCTCCTAAATCTCTTAGAACCCCCGTGTCCTCTTATGTCTCCTTCTCGCCTTTTGTAGCAAATGGCAGTCTGTAGTTTCGTGTCTCCCCAGCTGAGTGCAGGTTATAAAACTCCCAACTCCCTTCTAGGCCTTGAAAACTGGCAGCTGGATCCAGAGGCCTGATCAGACCTTGGCTGAACCCTTTTGGCAAAACCGTGAGTTATTCTGTGTTCCCTGGGCTTACACAGTACTGTGCTCTGTTTTGGGGGTTTGTAGCTCTGGGTGCTCAAAGCACAAGCCCAGGATACCTATTGAGAGCAACAAAATGATTATTGCCTGTCTTCACTTTTTCCATTTACTAATTGAAATATGTTATTATTTATTTATATTTTATTATTATTATTATTTTCGAGACAGGATTTCTCTGCATAGCTCTGGCTGTCCTGGAACTCACTCTGTAGACCAGGCTGGCCTCTAACTCACAGAGATCCACCTGCCTCCCAAGTGCTGGGGTTAAAGGTGTGTGCTACCACCACCCAGCTTGAAATATTTTATAAAGAGATGCTCCTACTATCATTTTATTGCTTAGGGGCAGGAGAGTCAGTCCGGATATTGGGTACTTTACAGTTTGGGACACTGTCCTTGTCACTGTCTGAAGGTGACAGATGTTGGTTCTGACTATTAACTTGAAAGGCTCCAGGGTCAGCAGGGAGGGACCTCTGGGCATGACTGTGGGGAATCATCTGGATTACCTCTGGAGGGGAGACTCATCTTGATTGTGGTGGGGGTCACTTACTAGGTAATGGACCGCAGGCCACATAAAAGGAGGACGAGGCGTTGGCAGCACACATGCTTCCGTTGCTGCTCTGACTGGACGAAAGGGGATCATTGCTTCAGACTCCTGATGCTTGGACTACCCTGCCGTGGTGGACTGTCACTCAAAACTCTGAGCTAAAATAAACTCGCTCTCCCTTTTGTCAGAAGATTTTTATCAAAGCGACAGGATGGGAAACTGAGACAGTGACCAGTGGGCATTTTCTTCTTCAAATGTCGCAAATCCAGGAATTTGGAAAAGTTTGAGGAGTTTCAACAAATTGCAGTAACAATAAAAAAAATACATAACAACAACAACAACAATAATAATAAATAATTATTGTTGTTATCATTGTTGATGCTGGAGACTTACATATGCAAGGCAAGTGTTTTACCCCAGCCTTTTATTTTTGATTGTTAAATGGTACCCTTTAGAGCAGAAGTGACCGTAACTCCTGAGTCCTTTGGACATTTCTTGGTAGTCTGGTCCCCCTTCATCATGTGAACAAGGAGATATTCTAAGCATGTTTAAGAAAACTAACAGCATTATTGAAGCGTTTTTCATAAACCACATATTTCACCCCTTACCATGTACAATGATGCTTTGGCACATGCGCAGAGTCACTAGTCAAGTTTAGAGCATGCGTCCATTCCTAATTTATATCCATCTCCCCCAGAACCTCTCAGAAGCCCCTCCCCCGCCCCAAACAGCTACTCTCCCTAAGTGAGCTCCCTAAGTGAGCAGGAGAGAGAGGAAGTGGAGCAGAACCTGCCTGATTGGGGGCGGGGCAGGGAGGGGGCTGGAGAGGGACTGTGGAGAGGAGGATTGGGGCAGGGCCTCAGGAAGGACGGGGGGGGGGGGGGGGGGGGGGGGGGGCACCAGCATGCTGGGCCTCAGCACTAGGTCAGCATGCAAGTCAGAGCCTAAGAGCGATGGATGACCCACAGGCTACTTGAAAGGACAAGATCCAGAAACGGAAGCTTTCGTGTACCTGGTTGACAACCATCTCCGCCTTCACTCTTCTTTCGAAGAGTCTCTTCAAGTGCTCGTCAAAGTTCTGGGTGCTCTCTTGGATAGAGTTTTGAAGTTTCTTCAGTTCAGTTTCTAAAGACTAAACGGGAGACAACAGAATAATTAAATGTTTGTTGCAACTGGTGTTTGCATTTTACCTCCTGGAAGAAGCAGAGGGAAGGTGGAGGAGTACTACCTGAACTCATCTCAAATGCTGCGCGCTTGGAACTTTTACTTTCGTTTTCCATTTTATTTCCTTTTCTGTGTGTATTCGTGTGTGTTGTATATGCATGTGTGTGTGTGTGTGTGTATGTGTGTGTGCATGTGCCTGTATACACGGTGTGAAGGCCCGATGATGACGTCGGGTGTCCTGAGTTTTCACTCTGTTTTATTCCTTTGAGACCACTAACCCTGAAGTTCACCCTTTGGGGTGGGCTGGCTGGCCAATGAGCTTTCAGGATATGCCCATGTCCATGCCCACCCTCCACCCCCTCACTTCCCCAACCCGGTGCCACTGCACTGGGGTCACAGATATGCACAGCCAGGTCTAGTTTTCTTAAAGTGAGAACTAAGAATTTGAATTCAGGGTCTCATATTTGTGCAATAGGCTCTTTAACCAGGACATGGAGCTGTCTGCCCAGCCTGGATGTTTGAAGATTACATTGGAGGAAAGTAATGTTAAAGATGACTAATCAGGTAGGCCTAGTAAATCGAACTGCAGCAAATCTTTCCAGAAAACAATTTACACATACAACATTTCGCCCTAAAATTTTTTCTTCCTCTCCTGTTTTTGAATACTTTGATTTTTTAAGATTATACATTTTGTTTTGATATTTAAGTAAAAATATTTACGCGTGTGTGTTTGTGTGTGTGTGTGAGAGAGAGAGAGAGATAGAGAAAGAGAGAGAGAGAGAGGGAGAGAGAGAGAGGGAGAGAGAGAGAGAATGTATATTTGAGTGGGCAGGTGCACATGGAGGCCAGAAATTGGCACCAGATCTTATTACAGGTGGTTGTGAGCCACCACGTGGTTGCTGGGAATTGAACTCAGGACCTTTGGAAGAACAATCAGCGCTCTTAACCGCTGAGCCATCTCTCCAGCCCATGGCATTGTCTTTTGCAGCAACTTTGAATCTCTTGCCTGGCTATTATTTTTATTCACTGTAGTTCTCCCTTGCATTTTTAACTAAGTTTAAAATCCAAAAGCCAAAAGAACCCAAAGAGCTAATCACGAAAGAAGTCAAGGTTCGGAGAGGTAGGGATGTAGTTGCCTAAAGAGTGAAGGGTGGAGTTCTGTATAGCTCTGTCAACTTGTCATGAACTCAAGTGGGAAAAGATTTCCTGAATTAAGGAAATGTCTCCACTTGATTGGCCAGTGGGCGTGTATATAGGACATTTTCTTGATTGATGTGGGAGGGCTTAGCCCCACTGAGGTCAGTTCCACCCTTGGGCAGGTGATCCCAGGTGGTAGAAGGCTTCCTCCATGGTCCCTGCCTAGCCCCGGTTTCAGTTCCTGCCCTGACTCGCCTCCCTGATGGCTGCGACCAGGACATGTAAGCTGATGTTCTTCCCCAAGCTGCTTTGGTCGCGGTGTTTATCACAGCAACAGAAAGCAGAGGACAAGCAGTGACCCTTACACTGTGTCCACTCCATGTTTTAATGTCGTTTCCTGCCTTCACCCTCACTTCCCTGAGTGGCCATGATAGCTCTCTGGTGAAGCCCCAGCCTTGATAAAGCTGCTAAGTTGTACTATCCTGTCTTGAGTGATGGTGTAGTTTTACTGTCTTCATAAAAGAATAGTATTTGCTCTGTTATGTAACACCAACATTTTGGGGGGTTCTTACTATGTACCCAGGTTTCTTAGACTCTCCTTGATGAGCCTGCCCTACCTTCCAAGTGCTGGGATTGTAGGAATGGACTATCATGCCCGATTACCAACAACTTTTATGTTTCTTCTACGGTGTGAGACATTTTCATGTGGGGATGTTTCTTTGAACTGGGAGACCATACAAATGGAACTATATTGCAGAGCCCTCAAATAAGACCTGAACTATGTGTCATGCTGGTTGTAGTTTTCTCTTCTCAAATCCTTTCGATGAGATTGAGACTGAATCAGCCAGAGCACTACTGAGCTCTAATCGCTGTAGCCCAGACAGAGCGAGCCCTTGCAATGTCTTGCGTGTGCTAGGTGTGCCTTAAGCATATGGAAAGAGAACAGAGGATCAAACGAACAGTAACCTGTGGGAAGTCTTGACATCAACAAGAACTTTAAAAATATTATGTATTTCATTTTTTTTAATGTCTCCAGCCCTCAGGTTTTTTTTTGTTCCAACCTCTAAGTTCTCAAGGGACTTTAAGTCAAATCATTATCCCTAAGCTCTTAAAGGCATTAGGAAAATTTGACTTAGAGAATCGAGAGATGTTTTTATTAATTTTCTGTTCTTCTAACCTTTCTGTACTTATCTCTCTCTTCATTTAGCTCCTTGACTTTTTTCTCATACTCTTTGAATTGTTTCCTTTCTTCTTCATTCCACAAAGCATCAGGTTTTGTCATGAAAGCAGGTTGAGGGATCACCTGGAGGCACAAGGAAAGAGCATGTTCTCGCATATATAAGCATCAATGGAGCACTACCGTGAAAACCTCCCAGCGCAGGTGGCAGTTAAAAAGGGAAACATTAAGGGGGATAACCTGACGCTTAGACGGAAGGATGTGGGAAAGTCTTACAACCGGGTTCCTATGATTCTGAGAGGATGGTGGTCGTTTTAGGGTTGCCCAGACTCTTAAGTAACAAACTCAGATGGTGCTGGTATCTTTGTAGCTTGACCTGCAGGAAGACCTGGAATGACAGGTCCCTGGTATGTTTGAACAACTGTAGGTGAAGCAAGATCACTAAGCACTAAGCTTATTTGTTCCTTCTTCTTCTTCTTCTTCTTCTTCTTCTTCTTCTTCTTCTTCTTCTTCTTCTTCTTCTTCTTCTTCTTCTTCTTCTTCTTCCTCCTCCTCCTCCTCCTCCTCCTCCTCCTCCTCCTCCTTCTTCTTCTTCCTCCTCCTCCTCCTTATCCTCCTCCTCCTTCTTTTTCTTTCTTCCTTTCTCCTCCTCCTACTCCTTCTTTTCCTTTTCTTCCTCCTCCTTCTGGTGGTGGTGAGTGTATGTGAGAAAGGAAGGCAAATTTGTTGTTGGCATCTTTCTAGGTAACTGAATACTGGGGGTGGTAGAATTTCTAAAACTGAGTTTTACAGGAAGCAAAATGATGAACTTTAAGTAGCTCTTTCTACCTCATTTCATTTTCCCCAAAGATGGCCAAGTAGCTCACCATTCTCAAGATGTCTTCCTTCTTGACTTCCAGAACACCTCCCATCATATCCATCAGGCCTCTCTGTCTTGCATCGGA